AAAAAAATTAAAATAAAATTGAAAAAAATTAACAAAATAAAATTATTAAAATTGACATTTTATAATTACCGTTGTTTTAGTAGACGAATATAAAACTTGTGTATAAAAACGTAAGTGAAAGCAAGCACGAAAATTTTGAATCCTATTTTTTTTAATTGAAACTAAAATTTCAGCGGAAATATTATGTGTAAAAAAAGTAAACGTAAATATAGAAACTGTAAATTTTTGTAAAAAGCTATTTTCTAGCATCTAAATAATTACAATTAAATAATTTTGTGTTAAATGTTAAAGCCTTTAGTTAACAAGAAGAAAGCTGTAAATATAATTAATAGTGACATCACTTACATAAAGTGGCTTAAGCTAATTTAAAGTGTAAGTAAAGTGCGTTAAATTACTATTAAATAGTTACGTAACATTTGTCCCACTTTCCTGTAGTCCGTAGCATTATTACACAAAGCGAAAGAAAAAATAAAAATGGAAACGGAAACAGAAACAGAAACTCAAACTGAAACAGAAAGGCAAATAAAATATGTTTTTTCACCTTTTTTAGCAAAAYAAAAACAAAGAAGCGCTGTTGTTAAAAAATATTTTCTCGTTCTTTACAAAATCGAACATGTTAAACTAATTTTTGAAAGCGCCGCAGTCGAAAACAAAGTTTTATAACGAACCAAACAGCTAAAGAAAGAAATTCTAAAATAGTCTCTATTGAGCAAAAAAAACAACAACAAAAATTATTGAAAAGAAAATATTTTCACTTATCACCTTTTTCGAAAATCCATTGGCCACAAGATAGTAACATTAGCAACTTTAATRTTCCGAACCCAAAATAAAACAACAAAAATATGCAAAAAAATATTTTAAGTTTTCAACTTTTTCGTAAATCCTATCAACATAAGGCAGTTCCGCCTTTATTTCCTTCTATTATCACATTTCAACAGCATTTAGCGCTTAGTCAGGCAAACAAAATAATTCATAATATTAGTATTAAGTTAAACATTTTCGAAAAATGTTATAAAATGTGTGTGCGCACATACGTACATATACATACATATATGTATATATGTACATAATTTTTTTGTTGTTGGATGTAAGTCAAACTAAAGCAAAAAAAAACTTTTAAACAGAGCTAAAAATAATAGATATATATACATTTAGACATGCTAAACTTAGTAATTCTGTATTTGAATTTAGTACTAAATTATATAAATAAATATATATAGATATATATAGCAAGTGTGTCGTAATTGTAACGAAATGAAACAATACAAATACAATAATAATTCGTATGGAA